TTTATAATTGGAACAAAATTCATAAAAAATTGTTAACTGATTGCTGTCTAATTTCTTTTACCCATTTCCTCCTAATCCTATACTAAGCAGATTTAACATGTATCACTCTGCTGACTCATGTTAAGGTCAGTAACGAATCTATATTGTTAAAGACATGAGTGGATTCCCACATCTCAGTTTTGCTATCTAACATTAGCATTTGATATGGTTTGTTACTCTCTTCTTCTTTTTGATGCACTTTAAAACACTTGGCTCCCATGTTATCAAATTCTCTCTTTTTTTTTTTTTGGTATAATTTCTTTCTTTTTAACAAGATCTTAATTTTTGCTGTTGTTGCTATTCCTGTGCTAGGAGAAAAGAGTCCTTTTCTCTGTTTCCCTAAGTGATCACATCCAGCGCATGAATTTTAATTGCACTTATATGTCAATGACTCCCAAATTTATGTCTCCAACAAACTGTTCCTGAATTTCAGATTCTTTATGTCCCCACTATGATATTGTAATGCTGTTGTTGTGGAATCAGGAGGACTAGAGAGAGATCTTGGGGTGTATACAGGAGGGTATCTTTATTATTGAGTGCACTCAGGCTCAGCAGACTCAATGTCCAAAGACTGGGCGCAAAACAAAGACAGCACTTGACTTTTATACACACTTCACAAAAGGGAGTGGGCTAGCTTGAAGCAAGCTTACAGTGGCGTGAAAGCAGGGTTACAGAGGCAGGACAAAGACTCTTAACGAAATTGTAACAGGTTCGTAACTCAGGATTGCACATGACCATTGCTATGCAACTCAGATGTCTGTTATCTAGGTTTTGCTCTAACAAGCCTTGTCCTGGTTTATCTCATCACCTTCACTACGGTGCCCAGACAGCTGCAGTTCAGGCCTGCTCAGCCTTCTCATGACCTTCGCTGTACTTCTTAGATAAAACAGAATACTTGAAGTTACTAGTTACAGAGAACAAGAATCTACAAACTCATACCATAAAACAAAGGAAATTTTGTTTTTCTTCTCCCTATGTTGAGGGAGTGCTGGGAGAGTCTCCAGAGCACACTAGATAATATTATCAAGACTTTTCCTGGGTCTGAGCTGTGTTTGTTGCTGCCTCTGGGACAAGTCAGCCTAACACAGGAAAGCTTATTTCTCTTTCTTTTTAATTTTATTTTTCTTTAATTTTCCGCCTCACTGTCAGTGCTCTGTTTATATCTTTTTGGGTTTTGTGCATCGGTTTGTATGGCTCCACTTCCAACTGTTAGCATCTTGTATCTCTTTGTTAATGGGCTTTCTCTGAATACTCTGTCCATGTACCTTGTGCCAGAAGCTACATGCAGTCAACACACCCTGTAAGTATCTCTCCATCAATGAGTGATGAGAGTTGGTGCATAAATATGCCACCACCCTTGCCTTTTGGGTAGGATAAACCTGGTGTTGATGCTTCATACTACCTCTAGAATCCCACTGTGGAAGAAGGATTCATTTTCCCACTGTGATAACCTGCTGGATGACACCCTGTTCCTTGACTCCCTTCACTTTTCTGCCTCACCTTCCCAGTCTCCTACTGATGTTTCCCAAACAGACTACCTTATAGTCAAATCTTTGCACAGAATCACCTTCTGGAGGAATCCAAACTAAGATATATGTCTAACATACATCTCAAACTTAACATGTGAAGACTTTTTTTTAAATTTCCAAACACCAGCCAGCAGGAGAAAAGAGAGATAGACCTCCACACCTCTCTGACACTGGTCAAACAGTACAAAATCCAGTAATGCAAGGAGTAATTTCTGGAAAGTTAATGCACAGTATGGTGAAGAAAGGCAATGTAACTGTATTGTATACTTGTAATTTGCTAAGAGGTTAACATAAACTAAGTTGAATCTTCTCCTTAAACACACATACACAGACACGCAGTGGTAGCTGTGTAGAGGTAAGGGATATGTTTCTTTGATTGTGGGTATAATCTTTCAATGTATAGGTACATCAAAACATCACGTTGTAAATCTTAAATATGTACAATTTTTATATGTCAGTGACATCTGAATACAGTTGTTAAGATTATTCAAATTTGTTATTTTGATATATTTAAATTTTATTTAAATTATATATTCCATATGTACCAATAAAAACCTGCATTATCATCTCCAAAAGTGCCATAGTTCCTGCAAATTCTGAGACTAATTTTTTCTTTTAATGTTGATTATTAGTCCTTAAAGTTTTTAGTAGATTCTGATTTTTCTTTAAAAAGTGTACATCCCCCCATTAGAGAACATTTCCTAGAAACTGGACACGTATTTTAGACTGAAGGAAGCTCAGTTCCACAAGCATCACAAATGACTCTCATTCCTTCCCAGGAGATGTTCTCTGTAACCCAAGTGAGAGGAATGGTCTGGGACCAGCTTTTAATAGACTGTAATATTTGCTAGCACCATAATGTCTTTATTTTACTAAATTAAATAGCATGAGACTGGTTAGTGAGGGCAAGGATATTTTCTATGCCTGGGCCAAGCCCTTGTTCAACTACAAACATATCTTTCAATACACTTTAGCCCTAATTATCACCTCTGTCCATAATGGAGACTAGAGATTTGTGGAGGCTTCTTCTTAAACCAGAAAAATTACTTGGAGCAGAAGAAGAGTGTGCTTGTATTGTCTCTGTGTGTATATTAGATAACCTATTCTGTAAATCCGAAACTGGAAAATCACTAACTTCCAAACAAGAAACTCAACTTAATATAAGCCTCCTTGGACTGATGACATTTTTAATGAAACATTTCAGAGTGTGATGCTTTACACATGTTCTCATTTTGCCTTTTCCTTTCCACTACAATCATGACAGTGGTACATAAACCCCAAAGGCCCAGATACTATTGTGTACTTATTCCATTTATCTCTGTCAAGGCAAACTTTCTAGAATGGTTTTTAAAAATCCTGTGTTATTGAAAAATGTATCCACATTAGTATGGCCACATCTCACCTATGGACAGAAGCATCTAACTCTGCTGACACCACCCTTTTAATCTTCCCTTTCATTCCAAAGACCTTGGAAGTTAGCATTTACCTAATTAGAAACCACAGAGCATTCCATTAAAAAATTCTGACTTCTTGGCTTCTCCAGTGGAGGTTCTGATTGAGTAGGACCGGAAAGAGGACTAGGGAATTGTGTCAACTAACAGCTCCCTATTCTGCCTCCTAAGATCTATCTGATTTTCTCTCTGGATGCACAAGATAGTTAGCAGACAGATAGATCAGATGACTAATATTCTCATGAAAACAGTGGACCAATATCATGACATAGGTGGTACCTATCCAAATCTGATAAGCTAGTTTCATCACACTCCGTTTCCCTCATCACACAAGTTCTTTTGGGAATTTCAAGCCCATCAAAGTGGACCCGTTATTGTTACATTATCAGTGGAATTTTAGCCACATCAAACCTTGCAATGAAACATGAATTAAATATCAGGTGTAGAAAGATTACAGTGACATCAAATTCATCATCCTTGGATCTGTAGTTACCGCTCCATTAGGTTTTGAAGCATCAGCAGGCATGTTGTCAAGGGGAAAGGAACTCTGGAGCATCTCTCACTAGCATTGGAATGCTTGGCTCTGCTTCCACTTATAACTTGTTGGCTTGAGTTATTCACGTGCCCACCTGCAAGCACAGTCTGTTCGGGATATTACATCTCCTACATGTTCATACGTCAGTGTGCTGTATTCACTACTATAATTCTTGGTCAGATATAGACTGTCACTGCTTCAAACTTCAAAATTTAGAGATGGTAATCCTGCCAAACATAACCTTGTATAATAGGTCCTTCTTTCCCCTTCCTAGTAGGAGAGTCTAACTGTTCTCTTGTGAATGAAGAGAATAAAGGATCTGACTTATCTAATATTTCTGCTCATATTGCATATTTGTTAAAGTTTATGACAGGTTATATGCTCAAAATAATATTAGCCAACTTTAGCTCTCCTATGCTATGGTGACTTTGCATGAAATTTTGGAGGCTCATGTTTTTATATGAAATTAAGTGTGCACAAACACATGAGTTAATAGCAATTACTACCACTGGAATTCTTGGTTCTGGATTTAAAATGAAAATATATCCTTATAAGAGATATGTTTGGTGTGTTATGCAACAGGGTAAATTTGGAAAGTAGAAGAATTATCTTTTATTGAAACTAAGTTATCTCATGGAAAATTGATAGTGATTTGTTAGAAGCTTTACAACTACTGCTCAGATACCAGGATTTCATTTTGGATCACCCAGGTCAGAATGATAAAGTTCCTAAAGGTAATGATTTTATTGACAGAGCTGAAATGTCTGCCATTCAAACAGCATATTCCAAACATGAAAGCTCCACCTTTAAACAATGAGGAACTTTGTTCACTTTTTAAAATATTCTTTTTTTATAGTAGAGACATATTTATTGACGTTGAACTTTTACAAAAAAACTTTTCTATGTCAAGTGTAATCATTTTCCAAATCTCCTTAAAAAAAATTTACCCCTCTTTGTGTCCCACATTAACAATGTATATTGCTATTTATGGTATTTGTTCTTTTATTTATTTATTTATATTAATTTTTTTATTTTCATAAGTTATTGGGAAACAAGTGGTGTTTGGTTAAAAACATTCTTTACAAAAGGAAGTGTGCCAATGGATTAAAAGGAGGTACAAAAGAAATTTGGCTAGACTATGAGAATTATCTAACAAAATAATTCCTATATTGCAGTCCTTATTTGTTTAATCAGTGTTGTCATGCCATCAACAAAATCATCTGTGTAAAAGATGACTTTAAGAGCACTAGACTCTTAATACACTTGTCAAGAGATCACTTTTTTCCATTTCATTTGTTTGTGCCCATCAGTAAAATTGTCTGTCCCCTTACTCTCAGCTGTAGGTATAGCTTTGATAATATCTGTATGAGGCAAGTTCCTAGCACCTGCCAGGACACGCAATCACTCTGTCTTATCTCTCCTTATCTACATGTCTTCCTTATGTAGAGATTTCAAAAGACTCCTCAGCATCGTGGAGATACATGAGAAGGCAAGAGTGATCAGGACAGCCACTGTTTCCCTTTGGACCATTCCTTCTTGAGGTGGGTAATTTGTGACATATATTATGGTGAATTTCATGTGTAGAATTGCTGTCTGAATTTCTCCAGATTGTGTTTTTCTAATAATGATTTTTGCAACTTCTATGAAGAATAGATTAGACTCTCAAAAGTCCATGTGATATTAAATGCCACACAGAAGGTTATCCTGAACATTTTCCCGTATATATTTATTGTGCTTATTTCTTGGTGGCTTTAGGGGTGGAGGAGCAAAGGGACTACTCTTCATTAGTCTTCCCTAAAGGAATATAGAAGTTCTAACTGTCTTCTCAATTGGAAGGGTACAGAAAGTGGTCCCTCTTTCCAATTCTGTTCACTGAAGCTTTATGGGGTTTGTGTCATGAATATTATGAACTTTTCTCTACATATTTCTTTTAGGGTAACTGAAGAGGTCAAATGGCTCACTTCTCATTGTGGATCAAAGCTAGTTTTATCATCATGTTGGCATTTTATCTTTGTTCTGGTAAGTACATTTTGTAATCCTGGTTAGACATTCTGATGTCCTAGAAAATGCAGGCAAGATTTGATATCACCTGGGAATAGAATTGGTTGTTCCATTTGATTTAATATACTTGAACTGGTAAATCAAATAAACAGAGGACAAATGCCCTTTTAAAATTACATTGGTACCAGCCTGGCCAACAAAGTGAAACCCTGTCTCTACTAAAAATAAAAAAATTAGCCAGGCATGGTGGTGTGTACCTGTAGTTCCAGCTACTTGGGAGGCTGAGGCAGGAGAATCAATTGATCCCAGGAGGCAGAGGTTGCAGTGAGCCAAGATCGCCACTATGCTCCAGCCGGGGTAACAGAGCAAGACTCCATCTAAAAAAAAAAAAATTACATTGGTGGATTCCCCTCTCTATGTTATAAAGGGAGAAAACTCTACAGTGAATATAAATGCCCAGTGAATTCTCTTCAAGTGCTTCAGCTAAACTCTTTCCCTATTTTGGAGGTCATATTCTTCAGTAAAAGTTGTTAGGATAAACCTTCAGATCTGATATTTATAGTTACAAATTCTGACATCAAAGTATCGTATCAAGCCAGTCCTCATTGATAACCTTTAGGACATTTGGCCTGCCTTAAAACCCATGATTATCTATTACTGTCATTGCAACGGAATTACGTGGGCATTGGAAAAAGCAGTGAAAATAGAAGAGAGCTTGACTCTGAGTTCTAGTTAATTTCTTTTATATTTGAAGTAATCGTCATCCTTAGCCTTTAATTTCATCATCTATAAAATGTAGATAACAAATAAAATGGTATCCTCAAGGGAAGGTGTTGTTGGTTTAAAGCGTGTAATGTATTTGAGACTGAGTGAGATCAGCTGTAAGACTCAGGACTATTACCAGTGTTGTAATCTGACTTTCCCATACACAGTGAGTGCCAGAGAAGACTCATTGTGTGGCTTGTAGCTTCCCCCCTGAAGGGGCTGCATCCATGTCATCTTACAAGAGATGTGGATATATCATTGGGGAGATTAAGTTATTTAATATTTTTCATTTGTGCAGATATTGCATTGTCTGAGTTGCCTGCTGTGTTGGCTGAGGTAAGTTACCTCTAATTTTTGAGAAAGTAGAAAACAATTTTTAAAAAGTTGTTAGTCAAAAACTAACTGTTAACATGGAAAATGTTCACAACAAAAATTGTGTATTACAACGTAAAACACTAGGTTATTGCTTCTCCAGGAGAAGATACAGCAATGTCAGCATTCCAGAAGTGTTTTTATTTATGCAGACATTTCTCCTTATTTACCAGCTCGGTGGTACTCTATTTTGTAGAATTCGAAGAGATAATTCAATCTTTTATATTTCAGCATTTAAATTGTTTCCAAGATTTTGCAATTACAGGTCATGTTTCAGTGAATAATCTGTGCATATATATTTGCAAAGTAAACTTCTAGCTGTGAGAATGCTAGTATGAAATGTAAAAATATAGGTAATTTTGTTATACGTTTTACAATATTGGAAACAATATCCTCTTTAAGAGTGTTCCTAGTTTTTATACCCATTAACAATGAGTGTCTTGATCTCCATAGTCTGTCACCATAGTGGGCTGTCAAAATTTTTCTGTTTATTTGGATACATTTATATGTTACATGCATAGATTGTGTAGTGGTGAAGCTAGGGCTTTTAGGCTATCCTTTACACAAATAAGGTACATTGTACCCATTAAGTCATTTCTCATCATTCTTCCCCACTCCCTCACTCTTCCATGTGTCTCTATCTCTATCCTTCCATACTCTATGTCCACAAGTATACATTATTTAGCTGCTACTTATAAGTGGGAACATGTGGTATTTGTCTTTCTTCATTTGACTTTCATGTAAGATGGCCTCCAGTTCTATCCATGCAAAAGACATGGTTTGGTTCTTTTTCATGGCTGCAAAGAAATCAACTGTGTATGTATACTACATTTTATTTATCCAAACATTCATTGATGGGCACTTTGATTGATTGATTGACAATATTTACTACTGTGATTAGTACTGTGATAAACCTATGGATGCAAGTGTTTTGTTTTGTTTTGTTTTTTTGACATAATGATTTCTATTCCTTTATGTAGATATCCAGTAGTTGGACTGCTGTGTTGAAAGGTGGTTCTATTTTTATTTCTTCAAAGTTCATGTTGCTTTTCAGAGATGTACTACTAATCTACATTCCCTTCAACAGTATATGAGTTCCCTTTCCTCCACATCCTCACTAACGCCTGCTATTTTTTATCTTTTTAGTAATAATCATTATAATTAGTGAAAGATGATGTCCTATTGTGGATTTAATTTGCATTTCTCTTATGATTAGTAACGTTGAGCATTTTTTGTATGCTTGTTGGCTATTTGTATGTCTTCTTTTGAAAAATATCTATTCATTTCTTTGCCCACTTTTATTGAGATTATTATTTTGGTTTTGTTGTTGTTCTCAGTTGTTTGAGGGCCTCGTAAAATCTAGATATTAGTCCCTTGTCAGATTCATAGTTTCAAATACACTCTCCGATTCTACAGGTTGTCTGTTCATGCTGTTGTTTATTTATTTTGCTGTGCAGAGCCTTTTTAGTTTAAGTCCCATTTGTCTGGGTTTGTTTGTTTGTTTGTTTTTCATTTACTTTTGAGGTTTTTGTCACAAATTCATTGCCTAGAATGATGTTGTTTTTGTTTGTGTGTTTGTGCTTAGGATTGCTTTGGCTATTCAGGCTTTCTTGCCTTCATATATATTTTAGAGTTGTTTTCCCTAATCCTGTGAAAAATAATAACATTGGTACATTTTTACATTGTTAGGGATTGTTTTGAATTTGTAAATTGCTTTGGGCATTATGGTCACCTTAATTATATTCTTCCAATCCATAAGCAAGAAATGTTTTTGCATTTGTTTCTGTTATCTACAGCTTCCTTCATTGGTGTTTTATTGTTTTCCTTGAGTGATCTTTCACCTCCTTGGTTGATTATATTCCTAGATATTTTACGTTTTGGGGTGTATTGTATGTGAAATTGTCTTCTTTTTCAAAGATTTAAAATTTCTGTAGATCTTGTGTGCGGGAGTGAATATTATGTTTTAATTTTTCTAATTAGAAGTAAAATTTAACATCTTTTCTTATATTACAGAACCACTTTTCCAGGTCCTTTAGAAAATTTTTGATCATACATTTTGAACACCATTTTCTTTGGCATTTAAAAAATCTCTCTATTATTTATGAGTTTCAATAATATCATCACTATATTATGCTACATATGTTGAAAATATAACGCATTATAACTTGATTGTGGCATTTATTTGCCCTGCAAATGTTTTATGCGGTTAAATTTATTGTTCTTTAGGTATATAACATATTGACATTAAGTCATATTTAGAAACTTTTCAACTTTCTGGTTTTAGAGAAATTCACTCTTGTTGACTTCTAAAGTTCTTGTCGTTTTATGATATACACTTAAGGCTCTGATATGTTGGGAGTGTATTTTTTAATAAAGCATGAGATGTAGCTTCAATTTTCTCTTTTTCCAAGAAGCAAATAAGGTTTCCCAGGTTAATTTATTGAAATATATACCTTTGCTTGAGTTATTTGAGAAACTACCTTTATTATATGTTAGATTTCCAAATTTTATTATATATTCGATTTCCAAATGTACTTTGGTCTATTTATTGACTCTCTATTTTACCCTACTTCTTTGATCTGTGTGACATTGTCAAAGTATAGAAGTTTAAAAAATGTTAAACATCTAGTAAAGCAAATTCATCAAGCATATAGTTTTTATTTTCCAGTTTTTAACTATTGTTGAATATCTATTTTCCCCTGTGAAATAGATATCAACTAAAGATGCTCAATCATCTTATCCAAGAACATAAGATCTCTTTCTTATTGTCCAAATATACTTTTGTGTTTGTGTTTTTCAGGACTTTTCTTTAACTTTTATTTTAAGTTTAGGGTCACATGTGCAGGTTTGTTACATAGGTAAACTCGTGTCATGGAGGTTTGTCGTACAGATTATTTCATCACCCAGGTATCAAGCCTAGTACACAATAATTATTTTTCCTGATCCTCTCTCTTCTCGCAGCCTTCACCTTCTGGTAGGCCCCAGTGTCTGTTGTTCCCTTGTATGTATCCATGTGTTTTCATCATTTAGCTCCCACTTATAAGTAATAACATGCAGTATTTGGTTTCCAGTTCCTGCGTTAGTTTGCTAATGATAATGGCCTCCAGCTTCATTCATGTTCCTGAAAAGCATATAATATCATTCATTTTTATGGCTGCATAGTATTCCATGGTATATATAAAATTTGCTTTATGCAGTCTACCTTGGATGGACATTTAGGCTGATTACATGTCTTTGCTATTGTGAATAGTGCTGCAATGAACATATGTGAGTATTGTCTTTAGAAAGATTTATACTCCTTTTAGTATGTACCCAGTAATGGGATTGCTGGGTTGAATGACATTTCTCTTTTTAGGTCTTTGGAAAATCGCCACACTGCTTTCCACAATGGTTGAACTAATTTATACTCCCACCAACAGTGTATAAGCATTATTTTTTCTCTGCTATCTTGCCAGTATCTGTTATTTTTTTACTTTTATGAATAGCCATGGTGACAGGCGTGAGATGGTATCTCATTGTGGTTTTGACTCATTTTTCTAATCATCAGTGTTGTTGAACTTTTATTTGTATGCTTGTTGGCTGTGTGTATGTCTTCTTTTGAAAAGTGTTTATGTTCTTTGCCTAGTTTTTAATGGAGCTGTTTGATTTTTGTTTGTAAATTTAAGTTCCTTATAGATGCTGGATATCAGGCCTTTGTCAGATGCATAGTTTGCAAATATTTTCTCCCATTCTGTAAGTTGTCTCTTTACTGTGTTGATGGTTTCTTTTGCCATGTAGAAGCTATTTAGTTTAATTAAATCCCACTTGTCAATTTTCGCTTTTGTTGCAATTGCTTTTGGCACCTCTGTCATAAAATCTTTGCCTGTTTCTATGATCAGAGTGCTATTGCCTAGGTTGTCTTCGAGGGATTTATAGTTTTGGATTTTATATTTAAGATTTTAATAAATCTTAAGTTGATTTTTTTATATGGTGTAAAGATTTCGTATATGGTATTTCTGTCTTCTATATGTGGCTAGCTAGTTATCCTAGCACCATTTATTGAATAGGGAGCTTTTTCCCCATTGCTTGTTTTTGTCAGCTTCGTTAAAGATCAGATGATTGTAGGTGTGTGACCTTATTTTCTGGGCTCTCTATTATGTTCCATTGGTCTGTATGTCTGTTTTTGTACCAGTCCCATGCTGTTTGATTACTGTAGCCCTGTATTATGGTTGGAAGTAAGGCAGAATGATGCCTCCAGCTTTGTTCTTATTGCTTAGAATTACACTGGCTATTTGAACTCATTTATGGTTCCATATGAATTTTAAAATAATTTTTTTTCTAGTTGTGTGAAGAATGTCATTGGTAGTTTGATAGGAACAGCACTGAATCTTTAAATCACTCTGAGCAGTATGACCATTTTACTGTTTTATTGTGATTCTTAGCTTCTTTGGCTTGGGTTTCTATGTACTCCTGCATCTCAATGACCTTTGTTTTTATCCATATTTTGAATTCTGTTTCTGTCATTTCAGCCACCTCAGCCCAGTTAAGAACCCTTGCTGGAGAGCTAGTGTGGTTGTTTTGAGAAAAGACAGCACTTTGGCTTCTTGAGTCATCAGTTATTGTGCTAATTCTTTCTCATCTTTGTGGGCTAATGTTTTATCCATCTTTGACATTTCTGTCCTTCAAATTTTTTTTGCTTTCATTTTATTTGATGACCTTGAGGGTTTGATTGTGGTAAGGTGGGTTTAGTTCACTGGCTTCATTAATGGCAGATTTTAGGGGGCCAAGGCTCAGCTCCTGACTCCTCACTACTGTGTTCTTTAACGTTGAGGGGCTTGTATCAGGCCCCAACTTTGTTCTCTGGCTCCTTGACCTTAGGAACCCACTGTGCTGCATCAACTAGTGTTCCCAGATCACTGATCACTACATTTCATGAGTGGTGCCAGCCAATGTGTTTCGTAGCGTGGTGGCAATGGGATCCATCCAGGCAGGGTGCATACTTATCATCAGTTGCTATAGGATGCTAGTGGGTTCTGGGGTTGCCTTCCTTCATGCAGTCATTCACAGCAGCATGGCTCAGGGGTCACAGGGCCCCTGCTGGTGACTGTGTGCATGGTCTTGCTGGTGGTTGAGTACAAGGATGGGATGCTAATGTGGTGGTTGCAGGTCTGTGTGTTTATCCAGGTGAGGGTGGCCACTCAGGGTGGAGGAGTGTGTGCTATTCTCCATGCCTAGTTTCACTCCTGTGGCAGTGTTGGCACTGGGGCAGGGCACTGGCAATGGTGGGGCTGGCAAGCTTTGCCTGCCAAGGCTCTTACAGCCATGGTGGTCAAGTGGGGTGAGGGAGGTGGAGTACATTGACACCAGCAGCACAGGCAGTGCAGGATGAGGGGGCATGTGCCCACATGCACTGGCAGGGAAAGAAAGGCTAAATCTGCCCGCACTCGCAGGTACCTGCAAAGTGATGTGGGGTGTGTCTGTGGACCTTGGGGAAGCTGCAGTTGAAGGAGGGAGCTGGTAGGCTTGTGTGTGGTCTCCAGGATGCCTCACTGGAGCACTCCACCTATGCACAAGATGTGGTCCAGCAGTGCAGGAGCTGTGATGCAAGCCCCAAGGCACCTGAGGCTGCACTGCAAGCAGGTGCACCCAGGCTGGGGCCCTGGGAAAGGTCAGGAGACCAAGGGGTGCTTGGGTCAGACTGGCCCCATCTGACAGGAAAGACTGCCTTGCAGAGTTTAGGTCCTACATTTCTCTTAGGGCTAAAGAATCCTATGAGAGTAAGTTGAACCTAG